TTGCTGGAGAAACTCGAGGACTTTGCTGACGACAGTGAAGAGGGTGAAACCGACGATGAGAACTACCGACGCCCAAAAGTGGAGATTGCAACAGTACGCAACGAATACGGTCCCGAGGCGCGCTACGGCTATCCTATTCTTCAACACTTGGGGGTCCCTGCCGGGTTCGAGACCCTGCTGGAGGCAAGTAGGTTGCAAATAACGGAACAGGCTGAGGCAGAAGAAGCAGCAGAGGCGGCGGCGAAAGCACACGAAGATGCACAACATGAACTGGACGTTGCTGAGCATGCCTCCAAGGAATACGTGGAGGAGGCGCTGGACGTTGCTGAGCATGCCTCCAAGGAATACGTGGAAGAGGCGCTGGACGTTGCTGAGCATGCCTCCAAGGAATACGTGGAAGAGGCGCTGGACGTTGCTGAGCATGCCTCCAAGGATACGTGGAAGAGGCGCTGGACGTTGCTGAGCATGCCTCCAAGGAATACGTGGAAGAGGCGCTGGACGTTGCCGTGGTTGAGCCAGCCGCAGTTGCGTCCGGTGCCGTTGATCATGCGCAGGGTTTACTGGAGGTCGGGGCAAAGCCTGAACTGGCGACCGGGGGCGATCACAAGGCGGCTGAGCACCCCGATGGCCACAAGCGGGAGTTGTAGCCACTGCAGCGGTGTGCACGTATGCGTGCGTGGGGGCCGCGTTGCCCTCTGCCTTGCTTCGGCTTCATCGGCGCCCCATTGTGGGGTGTTAGAAATGAGGTGCGAGGTTGCGGCGAAGGAAGAAGACATGAAGGCTCACATCCACGCAACGCAGCCAAGGAACAAGGCATGGGATGTGGTGAGGAAAAAAAAAATAAAAATAAAAAAAAATTAAAAAAAATAAAACAAAAACAAAAGAATGAAATGACAAGAAAAAACTCCACCCATCTTCTTCATCGAAAAGGAAAGAAAACAAAAAAAACGAAGGGATGAAAAAAATAAGGATGCTCAAGAAGATACGCTGAAGAAGGTGAAAGTATCACCGGTGCCTGGTGATCCTCTCATATATACATGTGTATGTATTGTGTTAGACTACCGGGGTTTGCCAGCGCCCACGCATACTTCCACTCGCTGCCTGTCTATGTTATTTCTTTGCGTTGATGCGAGCCTCCCGCCCCCCTCCTCCTGCCGGGTGGCGAGTGGATGCCTGTGGGGAGGGGGGAAGGTGCATTCAGACGCACGGACGCAGAGTGATGTGGTGGGGACGAGGAATGCAGTACACTTCAAGACGGGGGAAAAGCAAACATGGTAAGAACAAGGGAAAAATGAAGGAGGGGAAGGAAAACAACAACAATACAGGAGGGGTAAAGGGGAATAGGAAGTAACGTGATGTGATGTCAATAGCCTTTTTTTACTTGTTTTTTGTTTTGTTTTTGTTTTTGTTTTTGTATGTTTATGTGTGGTTTCGCCCCCGACTTCACATGTCGTTGGTTGCGTTTCAGTCGGACGCCCTCCTCCCTCCTGCAGCGACGGATTAGCAGTCGGGCAGGGACACATGCAAGGCTGCTGGAGGAGCGCAAAGGTGGAGTGTGGAGGGTGGGGGGGGGGGGGAGAGAGATGCATTTATAAGCGACCGAAAGGAGACGGGGGAGGGTGATGAGGAAGACCCCACCCCCACTCACCACTAATAATAATAATAAAAACAAAGCCGAAACAAACAAACACGCCAAAAAGTAAAGATGAAAAGAAACGGATGAGACATAACGAACGATGGAGTGAAACAAATGATGTTTCCATGGCCTACTTTGGCGCCCCCTATGACGTTATTTATAGCGTCTGTGTGATTTTATCAAAGCTTACTCTACGAGGCACGCATACGTTACCCGTGGTCCTTTCGTTAGTATTGTGCTTAGAAAATGCAGAAGGAAAAAGGGAAGGGATGTGGTGGGTGGGGGTGGGGGAATGTGGTTGCCGCTGTATTCCATTGTAGGCCCATGTATGCATGCGAGTGTGTGTGTGTGTATGCCTCGGTGTTTCGCTCTTGTGCTCCACTGGTCTATGTGTGAAGTGGCCATGTTTACATTTTGTTTTTCTGTTGCTTTCTTTGCGCTCCTTCCACCCTCCCCTTGTCTTTTACACGCGGGATGCGCAGAGTTGTCGCCAGTTTCCGTATTGGCATCGCGGCACGCCGTCAGCTAGAATCTACTTCGATTGGGTGTCGTCGCTCAGGCGACTGCAGGGAGGCATAGTAGGAAGTGGACGGCTGTGTGTCTGTGTGTCTTTGGGCGTGAAGGGTGCCTGGAACTGTTTTGTCTGCACGCGGCAAAGGAAATCAGGGATACAAAGCATATAAGAGACTTAGGATGCGGTGTTGGCTGCCTGCTGCGAGCCGCACCCTATGCGGCGTTACTACCACACCACTGCAGTGCTCGCAACGGGCGTACTATCGGTTGTGGGTGCCCGGCTGCGGCACGCGAGCAGGGATGAGAGTGACGTTGACAGCGGTGTGGCGTCGCCGCGACGGCGCCGCGGTGTGTGCGTGGGTGCGCTCAGCGAGTGGCGCTGGTGGTGGCGAAGGCGGTCGCGGCAAAGATATCGACGTGGTTGATGAGTCAAAACCCATTCATATCCGCGTTGCTGAGGCGAAGGACTCACAGATCTTTACCATGCAGGATTACATTGAGCGTGAAGAGGCGGAGCTGAATGCGTCTAGGTCGATTAGCCAGCGCCTGTCCGACGCGCGCGACAACCCCGTCTGGATGTTATGGGCGCTGTTATTTCTTTCGCTTGGGGTGCTGACGGTTGTCATTTCCATTCGCGTGCGGCGGGAGCAGCTGCGCTTCGATCCAAGGCTGCGGGCGGTGAAGGCCTTCGACAGTCCGGAGGGGCCGAGCATCGGCGGCCCCTTTTCGCTGGTCGGTGTGGATGGCCGCCGGTACACCGACAAGGATTTTCTCGGTAAGTGGCTGTACATTTACTTTGGCTTCACCAATTGCCCGGACGTCTGCCCGGAGGAGATGGCGAAGATGAGCCGTGTGGTGCAGCACCTGGACAAGAAGGTTGGCCGCGACTACTGGCAGCCAATCTTTGTCTCCCTTGACCCGCACCGGGACACGCCGGAGAAGATACGCGAGTACCTGGCCGACTTTAGCCCACGCATTCTCGGCCTTGTCGGGACGCAAGAGGAGGTGGAGGCGGCTGCGCGCGAGTACCGGGTGTACTTCGCCATCCCTGACGAGGAGGCTATGAGCGAGGACGACTACCTCGTGGATCACTCCATCATCATGTACCTCATGGACCCCGAGGGTAAATTCTGCGACTACACCACAAAGGAGTTTCAGTGGTTTGAGAGCTACAGCAAACTGCTGCGCCGCATGATGGACTATGAACGAGAAAAGGCGCAGAAGCAGCGTGAGAGGGGCGGAGAGCTGCAACCCGGTGAGAGGGCGGCAAACGTGAAGGTGGCAAACATTGCGACCATGCTAGATGAGAGCGTGGCAGCGGTCCCTAGCCGGGAGGTGCTTGAAAGGGACATGCCACAGCGACCGATGACGGTTCGGCGTTGACGGCGGGGGGGCTGCGCGCCTGGGGAGTGAGGGAAAGAAAACGACTGAAAATAACACAGAAGAGTGGGGACGAAATAAGAAAAAAAAAGACTGGATGGATGCAAGGGAGAAAGGGACTCGGCGGCGACGAATAAAGCACGAGGAAGTGGAAGAGACTTGAACGGCTTTTATCGCTGTCATCGTCAATAGCCATGGCGTCAGCAAAAGATGATAAGCAATGACGCTTCGGGGTCATTTAGGATCCCCGCGTTCGTGCGAGGGAGGGTTTACCGGTGTGGGAGGGGGTGGGGGTGGTGGGAGGCAAAAAGGGAAGAATGCAAAGACGCATGCTGTCAGCGCCTGCGTTATCACAGATGGTCCTCCGACATTGTGTTTGACGCTTTGTTTATTGGCCGGTGTGCAGTTGTGTGTGTGTGTGTGTGCCATTGTGCATGCATGTATGTGCGTTTCTGTGTGTTTGGGCCATCGTCTCCTCCTCTTCCTCCCATATGTTTCTTTCATTGCTGAACGGTTCCTTTGGCCTCGCTCGACGCTCTACACGGGTGTGTAGCCTTCACCGTCACCGGACACAAAATATCTGCCCCCAGCAAGGAGTAACATTTTTACGCACAAGCCTCCCACGCCCCAGCGAAGAGTGAAGAACACGGCAGCTTTGTTTTGTTTTTCTTTTTTCTTTTTGCGACGAGCTTCAAAAGAGTTGCGGAAATCAAGCGGCGAGGCGGTAAGTAAATGACTACTCTTCGCGAAGGTCGCCCAGGTTATGTTTGGCACCGAATGCCCGGGGAGGTGCGTGAGCGCGTACACGCGGCCTGCGAGAACGGCGTCTCACAGAGGCGCCTGCATGCGGAGAGTGCGTGGGCGGCGGGGCCTCTGAATGTGCCACCCAACGGCAAGTACGGGGCAATGTCGGAGGTCTCCGCGCCGAGGCAAGGGTCAATGGAGACAGAGATGGTGGCCTTTAAGGACACGCGTGAGGACGGCGATGTGGTGATGGTGCAGAGATCCTCGTCGGTGAATGCCACAAAGGGCTGGAGGACGAAGCACTCGCTCCACTTTCGCGGCAGCAAGTGGTCGTCGGTGCTGAAGAAGCACCGTGCCGCGCTGGAGGCGGCCGTCGTCGAGGACATCGTCGACGCGAGTGGGCTGGACATGAAGCGGATTGAGAACATAACCTTCGCCGTTTTGGACACGCTTGTTGTGACCTTCATGGTGCGTCCCCAGGACCACCTGGACACAATCGGGGGCGTTCACGTTGCCCTGCAGACGTACAACTTCCCCCGCACCAGTGCGCTCTACCGGGAGCACCGCTTCTTGTCGAAGTGAAGCGTGAAGATGATGTGGTACAACGCCTCAGCGTAGTTACCCTCCCCCGCACCTATGCAACTAACACCCAAAAGCGTAGTGGCGGGAGGCCACGGGCCTTTCCTACATGCACGCACTCTCTTTCTCTTCGCTCTTCAAATGGGTGTGGGGTGTGGGGGTGCATCCAAAATACCTCCGTTTGAACAGCGGCGACTTCAAAGCAAAAACGATGACAACACGGAGGAAAATAACGATAAGAAAAGCAAGAAAAACACTGACAACTGATGGTAACATATTTACCAGTGGACGTGAACACTACAATGGGATGCACGGAACAAAACCTTGCAGATGTGGACTTCATTGTTGTTATTATTACTCCCAGTCGTATTGTTGTGCTGCACACGTGTTTGCTTCCTCATATATTACTTCTTTTTTTCTTTTTTTGTTCAGCGTGGCGAGACCCTTTTTTTTCTCTTTTTTATATAAATATATATTGTTTATATATATATGGTGTTCTTTTTATTGTTTTTGCATCTTATACTGTTGAAGGAGTTGTGGGGTTGCTTTTTCTACTTTCGAAGAGTTCCACTAAACGAAGATGTCGCTATTGCTCTCTCTCTCTTTTACTACACGGGGGAGGCTTCTGTACGTGTGCTGTGCTTGGAGGCACGCTTGTATGCTGTTTGTAGTTTGTGCCCCGGTCGTCGCTGCATGCGTATGTTTGCGTAGGCGTCGGGTGGCGTTCCTGGTGGTGGGTGTAGCTGACCGTGCGGATATGAATGTGGTAACTCAAAGATGTCCCCTCGGCATCTCGTTTTGTTTTTTTCTGTTTTTGTTTTTTTTGCCTCGCTGCTGCGCAGCTCGGGCCTGTTGCATTATGCAATGGATAGGTAGAGTCGAACGGCCCGCGGTTCTCCCCGTCCCTTCACTCTGTGCTTACTGCGTCAAGTTAAAATGGAGTGCACTCTGCCTGGATGACGCTTTTTAATTTTGCTGCTCTCGTCATTGCACCTGTGGAAATACACGGGCAGACACACACCAACTGTGTGTGTGTGTGTGTGCGTCGCACAGTCGTTGTGAGGGGTGTGTCGAGGAAGACGCTTTGTGGGCATGTTTGCGAGCGGGCGGGGGTTCCCGTAACGCAGCCTGCTCGATTGGGAGCGGCAGCAGCGCCCAGTGCGTGTCTTGGTTGTGCTCTGCACTTTCCCACCACACCACCGTGTTCTCAATTGACCGAATGCTCTGGAGGGCCAGTCATCATGAGAGATGATCCTGCAGGGGGTGGCCTCCAGTCAGGCGCCGTGAACTGCCCGTCGCCACTCGGGGAGCGAGGCAGGGGCAGAGCACACGGGTGGAAGGCCGACAGCTGCTGGGAAGCGCAGCAGTGAGGGCCGAGGCGGATATGGCCTGTCTAACAAGGCAGCCAGGCCTGGGCCGCGCAGCGCCCACCGTGCAATTGTACGACTTTGGGCGGGGATCCGTTTTGGCGTCTCGCCACAACGAATTCATGGCAGTCTTCATTGGGGGTGTGGTGGAGGCATGATGACTAGAGGGGGCGCCGCATTGAGAGTGTCAGGTTGGGGCGTGAGAGAATGCTCATTGTGCAGATCTGTATTCTCCATTGCAAAGATGGGTGTGAGGTACAGCGCGCCAGCACAGCATTATTTGGTCGTACTCCTTCCTGTGCACCATCATCGTTCACCTCCATGCATCGTCAGAGAACACCGTGAGCTAAACGACGCCGAGTGCCAAGGGAAGTACAATGTGGTGAGTTTCTTTTCCTGTCATTTTATTGTTTCTCTGCTTGTTTTTATATTTTGTTTGATGTGCAGCTGCCTCTATGCTTATGGTTGAATGCATATGGTGTGTGGGTATGCACACACGTGCGTTCCCTCCTATCCGGGGCACGGTGTGTCTGTGACTGTGCATGAGCGTCGGCTTGCCGTATTTTTGTTGCTTCGTTTGTGTGGGAACGCGGTGGCGGTGGCGGTGGCGACGAGAGGGGAAGTGGCAACCTTAACGAATGCTCTCGGGGCACGGGAAGGCGGCATTGAGACAGGCACCGCACACGCATGCATATCTGTCTCTGCGCGTATGTGACAGTAGAAAGGCAGAGATAGATAGAGAGGAGGGCGTGCACCTGCCTGAGTGCCTGCCACGCAGTGGAAGAGGCGTGAAGCCAAAACTTGAGGGCGCAGTAGTGTTTGACGAGGGATGGATAATGCCGGGGCGTGAGTGTGACGATGGTTGTTGGGTTTTCTCAGGGTCTTGTTTCTTTTTCTTTTCCGTGCCGTGCTGCCTCTGCGCGGCCGCCTATTTGTGTCTTTTACTCTCTTGCCAATTGCACAAAATGCCTGTGCGTTGCTCCCTGACTTGCCACCGGAGCCGTGTTGGGGGTTTGCGCCCTTTCCTCGTGGCTGCCCCCATCCTCACAGACTGTGCCTCCCGCATGGGGACTTGCCTCCACTTCGCTTCTTTGTCTTTTACCCTGGGCTCTCCATCCCCTGCGCAGTGCAAGCGAATCATCCAGGCCAAGCCCCCAATAGATCTCTTTAAGACACCGCAAGATACTCCAAGCAAATGAAACCGAACAGTACGGAGTATCCTTGCAGGGGCATCTGGCACGCGATGCCGGAGGAGCTGCGCGCAAGAGCAAATGCGTTGCCCCGTGGGGCGAAGGCAACACCAGAAACGAACCACAACACCGTCCCTGCTGTGCCTACAGGGGCAACGTTAACAGCAGCGCTGCCGACTCAACCGTTCTGTGCGGAGCCGCAGACGGGGGCGACGAAGCCTAAGCCTGGGCCCTGGCCGGAAGAGGGAAAGAGACCAGAGGGAACGGAGCACCAACGCAAGGGGAAGCATGCTTCGGTGTCAGAGAGGGACGGATCGATGGCCTCCAGAAACGCCTTGAAGACGAAGCACACAGTTCACTTCCGCGGTCGGGGGTGGGAGAATCTTTTGAATGAGAAACGCAGTGAGCTTGCACAGTCCTTCACGCAGGATGTCGTTGAGGCAACTGGCCTGGATGCGAGGCAGGTTGAGAATTTGACCTTTGAGTTCGCTGGAATGCTTCTTGTAAAGTTTGTATTGGCTCCAAAGAACGTCCAGGAACATATGAGTGATCTACACGGTATGCTGCAGTCGTGCAAATTTCCGCACATCATTGCCCTGTACAAGCCGTAGTTCGCTGTTTTTCTGGAGGCAAAGCTACTGGTGGGGGAAATGACAGTCTGCCTCTCACCCCTGCAATGGGAGCCACATATAGTTCGTAGGACATTGTTTGGTTGTTGTTGTTGTTTGTTTTTTTTTTTTAATTTTCTGGTTGTTGTTTTATTGTGCAGCTAACTTATTTTTTTTTTTTTGCTTTTCTCACGGTATATGAATCCCTCCTTCCATTCTTTTTTTTTTTTTATTTGTATTTATTCTCTGTCTTCCGCACCTTCCCGGCAATGCACCACGCCTCCTGCCCCCTTTCTTTTTACGGAACTTAAATTTGTGCAATTGCTGTGCGTTGTGTGGGCCCCGTGTGTAATCACGTTTATATTTCTGCCTGGAGGGGGACGAAACCGCAGAGAGGGCGCGTGGGTGCGGCCGGTGGCGTGGCATGTATGTATACACGTGCCCTTTGTCCGCGGTGTGTGTGTGTGGGGGGGGGGGGAGGTTGCACGGGAGCTGGGACGGTATTTTGTTTTTGGAAGATGCGTGCATATAAATTTGGAAAGGGAAGGGGAGGGAAGATAAAAACATGTGATCTGTCCAGATGTGCCTCTACTTCTTTCTTTTTATTTATTTATTTTTCCCCGCGTGGGTGTCTGCCTGAGCGTGGAGTAGTTGGGTGGGTGGGGGGAGGAAAGGAAAGGAAAGGAAAGAAAATGAAAGGAAAAAATAAACTTTGTTCAGTAGCAGCGGCGCAGGCACGCAAAGGGAAAAGTTTTGGTGGATTATGAATGACT